GTCGTCCATTCTATCATCGTCGGGACGCAAATATGAAATTCTCATAATGCCGACTATTATCAAATCACACAGTCCCTAATTCATGTTTAGCTTATCTTGTTCATCAGTCCAGGTTGATTTCTTATTACTCTGGGGTCTAACTTTTCCTTTTGGTAGTCGCGTTGGAGTCACGAACTTATTTCTCGAAATGAGGATATGACTTTATGGCCTATACTCTTTTGTTGTCTCAAGGTCTGTCACCTCTCATCCTTTCCTTCACTTGACTATAGACTCTGTAATACTGTCATCTTTTTTATCTACCATTGTCATCCATGTATCACAGCTTATTCATAATGCTTTATTAACTCTCTTCTTATTTCCCGCTAACATGTATGTCTATCACTTTATTTTGAAAACTCGAACAAGACATTCTTTTGCTTTTAGCTCCCCTTTGCTCCATTCAGTGGCTCTTCGGGTTGTTTAACGTTCTCACTCTACTAGGGACGGAAGCCATATTAAGGTAATATTTATCTCTTTAAGGCTTCTAGTACCTATCTTTGTAGTACTTATATCTAGCTGTACTATTCTAGAGTGCAACATCCGGGTGTCTCACAAGGAGATCTATTAGCACATTTGTAATATCCTTCGGAAATGTCAACTAACACAAACAATCCATTCACCATTTTGGGTTACTCTTACCCCAGCCGGATCCTGATATCCGTCCTTCTCTTATACTACTTTTGTTAGCCCCTATAAGGCATAATTGAGATGGGTGTGTCCAATTGTACATACCTCTGTTATTATTGAAGGTAACTCAAAAGGCTTATATTCCTCTGCCTGAATTGTAAATACTGATATTCTTCATTAACTGGGCGCCTCGTACCCTTCTTCACCTTGTTTCTTTTACTTGTTGAAACTTGTATCTATCTTCTGAATCTCTCATTGCTTTTCACCATATGGATGGATAGATATTCTTGTCTTAAGGCTCCTTATCAAGAATCTTACACGCCTTAGTACTCACATGTTTTGCTGAAGACCTTACATTTACTCATCATAAGCATCATAAATCGAGTTCCTCTGACTCAACTCTTCCATAGACACATTCAATCTCTTACCAACTGTCTTTCTGGATGTAGGCATCATCGTATTATGAAAAAGATAGAGTTTAGGAAATTGAGTTCTTAAAACTGAGCTCTACCACATGATCTAGAGTAAGAAGAAAGAGTGGCAGTCCTAAATGCCCTGTAGTCTCATGCTTATAAGTGTGGAGCACAACACACCCATAAATAAGACTCTACTAGACACGGCTTGTAGACTCTCTAGGACAGAACCTGGCTCTGATACCACTTTTGTTACGACCCAAACCGATGGGCCATGACGGGCACCATGTGCCCTTACTCAACCGAGTACCAACATCTTTCGTATCATTTTATCATAGGTAAATGAACCGGAGTAAAACATGAGGGAATAAACTTATACATATGACATACTGGCCTATAAGACCAAAACGATCACTCGTACACTGAACATAGGCCGACAAGGCCATACAATCTTTCATATACATGACATCTGTCTACAAGCCTCTAAGAATACACAATTGTCATAAAGGTCGGGACAGAGCCCCGCCATACCAAACAATACGCATCTAAATCATACTGACCAAAAAAGCAACTCCGGAGCAAATGGAGTGCACCAACATCTTCCGCTGAGCTGATCGCCTACTTGGAGGACTCTCGACCTGTCTATCGAGACCTGCGGGCATGAAATGCAGCGTCTCCAGGAAAAGGGGACATCAGTAAAAATAATGTACCGAATATGTAAGGAATGAAAATCAGTAAATAATAAACATGAGAGAAACATGAAGTAAAAGACTTGATATGTACGTCTGCATAGCTCTGTGAATCATTTCATTTTTATAATGTCATGCATATGCGTATAAATGGCATACCATGCATAGATATATGCGTTCATAACATCATCAAGCTTATGAGGGTATCCCATCATATCATTTCGGCTACTGTGGGCAGATCATCAACGTATATCGGCTGATCAGGTGGTGGTGCGTATATAATGCCGTAACCTTTTTCCCATGTCCCATACACACACACACACACACACACACACACACACACACACACACACACACACACATATATATATATATATATATACGCGTATATAACGCCATCTGATCATGGGTCAATGTACATGTATAAATGAATGTAATGCATGAGAAGTATGTCAATAAAATCTCTTGGAATGTCATAAGACCATTATGCCGTTGAGTAATATCATGAAATAAATTTTATCAACTTACGTATTTTCTAAGACCCATGAATAGATGATAGAATAATATGAAACATGGGGAATCAAGAATATAAGCATCTCTAGTATTTCTATGAATATAGTCATTTATGGAAATTGTGCATTTGCTCATTTCATTTGTGTCGTATAGATCATGCCAAAAGAAAGAAGGGATAGCCTTAACATACCTGGACCGATTCTCTTGACAATTCCTCTAACACACGTCTTTTGCGACGAACACGTAACGGCGGATCAAATTAGAGAAAATTTATATGATATTCTTGAGAAAGATTGCACCGTACTCCCTTAGAATCGCAAAAATCCCGTTGCTATAACATTACGTAGTATAATTTTGTATGAAGATTTCTTGGTTGGAGATCCGTTACATTTGTAGATGTAGAACACCTCCATTTTGGTGAATTTGATCTCAATTTTGGATGGCTTTTCTTGCTGAGGCAAATCACATTTTCCATTCCATTTTTGTGAATTAAAGAGAGGTCTTTGAATATAATTCTTCAACAAGAATGAGATAAGGTGCCCGTGTCTTTAAATTTTTGTCACCACCTCCTTAAGCACCTAATTAGATGGCAATTTGCTGCCACAATTCTAGAATCCCACGTGGAAGTGTTGTCCCCTAATGATTATCCAAAATTATACTTAAATAATTAACCACAAACTTTTAATTAATTTTTAATCTCCCACTAAAATCAATAATTATCCGATTATCCACATAATTAGAAATTATCTAATACTACTCACTTTTAATACACTTCATACATCTTACTATCATGGTCATGTGATCAGTTGGCTTTGAACAAGGAGTTTCACTTCCATCCTAGAAGCAAAAAGTTGGGAGTGATCCATGTTTGTTTTGCTGATGATTTGTTGATGTTTTGTAGGGCAAACCTCCCTTCTATTAGGCTGCTTCAACAGGATTTTATGAAGTTCTCAAAGGCCTCGGGACTACAGGCAAATGCAGACAAAAGCTCCATTTACCTTGCTGGCATTTCTGCAAATCTGAAAGAGAACATCTTGCAAGAGCTGGGATATAATGAGGGCACATTGCCATTCAAATATCTTGGTGTGCCACTAGCATCAAGAAAGTTGCCAATTAACCAATGCTGGCCACTGGTAGAAAAGATAACTGCCAGGATCAGTTGTTGGATATCAAAGCTGCTATCCTACTCAGGAAGATTGCAGCTTATAAAATCAGTGATCTTTGGTGTACAATCATACTGGACACAAATATTTCTATTGCCAAAGAAGGTGTTGAAAATGATTGAAGCCACATGCAGGACATTCCTATGGACAAGAAAAGCAGATATCTCTAGGAAAGCATTGGTGTCTTGGGAGAAGATATGCTTGCCACAAGCAACTGGAGGATTGAATGTTATAAACCTATACAACTGGAATAAAGCAGCGGTGGCAAAACACTTATGGGTTATCACAAAGAAGAAGGACTGCCTTTGGATCAGGTGGATCCATGCTTACTACATCAAGAACCAGAATGTAGATATTATGTCCATACCCAAGAATGCAGCCTGGGTAGTAAGGAAAATTTTTGAGCTCAGGAAGCTTATCCTTGATCTGCCTACCATGGAAGGTGACCTGACTTCAAGACTGATGCAATTGCAAAGCACTGATGGAAGATTCAAGAAGTTATATCAGATGCAGCTCCCTCAAATCCAAAAGGTACACTGGAAGAGCCTAATCTTACAGCCACATATATATCCTAGACACAAATTCAACTTATGGCTAGCTGTACATAGTAGGCTACCTACTGTTGAGAGGCTACAGAAAATTAGTATTCAAGTTCCTCAAGCTTGTGTATTCTGTGGTCTGGCTGATGAACACTTTGAACATTTATTCTTTGGTTGTGGCTACACTAAGAATATCTAACAAAGGCTACTGAATTGGCTTGGTTGTCCTAGGCAGATAAATACATGGCAGGAAGAGGTGCAATGGGCGACAACCTGTGCTAGGAAAAAGAAAGGATTTGGGACAATTGTCTCAGTTGTCTTTGGGATGATGGTATATCTTATATGGTGAGATAGAAACAAGATCAAATTTCAGAGTGGCAGCTCGTCCCCGAATATAATGTGTAGAGAAATTGCAATCCATATACACATCAGAGGCAACTCATATCTCAGCTGACAGAAGCATTTGGAGGCATTGAACTGGATTCCATAGACACGTTTAGCTTATATCATCTGTCAAATGTAATGTCCATTTTGTCTATGTTGCAGATTATATAGGCATTAGGATGTGTATAAGTTATAGTTGTCATCAAAACCTTATATAGGTTATAATAGAGTAATTAGTTGTCAAGCATAGTAAAGGAATTGGTCAGCAGTTCCTCTTTTGTATTGAACTTTTTTGGTTAAATAGAATCTTAATTTTACCAACAAAAAAAATATTAGCCTAAAAGTGCCTACTAGCAAAAACGGATTTAGGATTTAAAATTTATGTATTCCTACAATAATTTTGATTTAATATGTAATAATACCCAGACCAACCATCCAAACTAAATATTCTTATATATTTGATAGATCTATTAATATAAATACTTACCTAAGCAAAAATTATTAAATTCGCGTGAACTCGCACCTTAATATTCTAGATGGACCTCGGCTACTCATTCCAACCTAACTCGTTGGCTTGGTATTCTTTAGATAGCACGACGGTATGTCTTGCTCTACATCAATTAGCACCAACTAAAGAAAAAAAAGAAAAATTAAGCACCAACTATTTTAGCAGGGTGTTCTCGTTCCAACCGAAGTACACTGCAGCTCCAACCTACGCCCTAACGGCTATTGGTCTGAACTGTTTCTTGTTTTAAATAATTATACTTATTTAATTTTCACTATCCTTTAAATCCTTTCCCCTTTGTCTAACGTACCAGTCCTGACCTCGATTGATCTTTCACTTGATTTCGCTGATAAACAAAAACGATATAGAAGTTAACAAAAGGTTCTTCTTCGCCCCTCTCCTTTCTTTATCGCAGCTGTATAGTATAGACATAAAGAGAAGTAAATGGGGAAGAGTAGATCGTCCACCAATAGGTGGAGGTACATCAATCCATCTTACTATTTGAAACGCCCCAAGCGTCTCGCATTGCTTTTCATTGTTTTCGTATTCGGTACATTCTTCTTTTGGGATCGACAAACGTTAGTCCGAGACCACCAGGTACTTTTTGTTTTTTCCTACTCCATTATCAACTCCCTTTTATTTGAAATTATCACTCTTAACTCCCGTAATTTGACTAATTGATTCTGCCATTTATAGTTTGCGTTTTAATTATGAGGAAGTTTGTTGCTTTTGTACAACAATAACACTGTCTATGTTTTCCTGGAGAATCTATGTGTTCCAATTGTAGAATTGAGAGCCCCATTTGACGTACCAGGCTTGTATGTTGTATCTGTATTAGTAGAGTCTTCATTAAATTGATAGACTATATTTTGGAAGATTCAAGGTAGTTCATTTTCTTACTGGATTTATCATCTGTGTTGGTGTCGTAGGTCGTGTATAGAATGAGTTGAAGTAGACCTTACAAAATATATTTAGCAAGTGTCTTCTCCTATCAAAGAGTTAACTATCAACAGCAACACTGTGCATGGGGATTAAGGAGTTCTCAGTGAGATTTGATTTTTGATTATGTAGACTGATTTATAGAGGCATTCATTTCAGAGATCTTCTAGTTGCTGCAGGACAATATTTTTGAGGTTCTTATTGATAATTGAAACTTAAGTTGGTTTACGGTGGTAATAGCACCCTTGATAAGGATAAATTGTTTACCAAGGAGCAACAAAAACAACTACGCCTTAGTCCCAAACTAATTCAGAACTTCTGAAGAAGTGTGGCTACTGGGATTCGTGCCCAGGTCTTTACGGCCAGAACTTGGAATTCTACTATACTAGACCCACGTTGAAAATAGAGATGCAACAAGAAGACTTTCTAGGGGTCATGAAACCTAGTACAGCCCTTGTCCAATCCTAATACTCTAATGCTTTCTATTTATTGGTTGCAAGCACCCTGGGATATTTGGTTTTCTAGCTAGTAGTACCAAAGTTCTAGTGATGTTTGATGCTTATTGCCCTTCAGTTTATATAGAATATTTTTCTTCTGTTTCATGGGATCTTCTTGTGATGTAGAAGTTTATTTATATATATACTTCATAAGCAAGCTAGTTGTTTCTTAGATGCATTTGTTATTTCGACATTTTTGAAATTTTGAATTCAGTTTGTCTTGCAATTTGTCACTGAACTTGTGATTTTGCAGGAAGAGATCTCTAAGTTGCATGAAGAAGTGATACGGTTGCAAAATCTGGTAAGCAGTTTCTGCTTTTCTTTTCAAAATCTGAACTGGTATGTTTAATTTTCACCTCTTCTGTAAATCTTGGCTTGTGGGGAAAATCTTTATACTAGAGCTTCTTATAATTTTGCTGGTAAGTAGCCCTTTCTCCTCCTTCCAACTGAATGAAAAAGATTGTTTCACTGTTTAGAATTGAAAAGCTGATAAAGTTACAATTCTTGCAATTCGGTTCAACCATCTTTTATGTTGTAGTAAAAATACTTATGCCTATGGGGGAGAGGTATTTGAGGACAGCAATGATGAAGATAGTGGTGGTGCGGGATATAGGTTTGGCAACAGTGGTGGTGGATGTGGGGGTGGGGGGAGGTGGAAGGAATAGATGGGCCCCATCTGTGTTCTGGCAGGTTTAGGCTGCTGCAATTGATGTTATTGTTAGGGCTTGCTAGGTCTTTTTTGTAAAAGAACATATAACGAACATCACTTGTTTGGGCAAAGTCCATCTAGTTTTCTATTGTTTATTCTGATCGCTTTCAAAATTCTTGGGGTTTTAAATATTTCGTTCTGTTTTCTTCATCATGATTTAATTGTTGGCTTTGTTTCCATTTATGGTCTTGTTTGCACTGTAGCTGGAAGAGTTGAAGAATGGTCGAGGTGTATCGGGTGAAAAGGTGAATTTTAGTCGCACTGGTGGTGATGTGCTGAAGAAAAAGGATTTCGCTGAAGACCCCATTGATGCTCAGCGAAGAGAAAAAGTGAAAGATGCTATGCTTCACGCCTGGAGTTCATATGAAAAATATGCCTGGGGCCACGATGAACTTCAGGTCTGGTTGTTGCTACTAATAAGTCTCCTTTGTGCCATTATGTTTAGTCACTTAGCAGTCAGATCTTTGGTGGAGGCATTTCAGTTGGCCATTAAATGCTTTACCCTGTTGATTGATTTCTTATAATTTCTTTCTCTACTTGGAGTGATTGTGAACAATTTGTATGCCTTATCTTTAAGCTGATCATTTAAATGCAAGTCTTCATATTTTCGTCATCCCTAATATTTGTCGGGAAGATGTTGGATCAAGAGCTTCATCCCAGTCGTACAATTATTTACATTCTGAAATGTAATTTCATCCTTGTTGGTGTATGTTTTAGGTTTATTTGGCTACAAGTTGAAGAATAAAGGTATACCTACATAGGTATTGATCTTATGTAGTTAGTTCTTTCCTTTGTACAAAATAATATCTTGTACTCAAGGGTTTCTAAGATAAAAAGGATTTACCTCAAAATTTAAATATGTGAAAGGGTGAAGTCTCAATTAATTAATACTCCCACTTTATATTTTTGTTTCAAGTACTCTCACTTGACACTATTGGTGAAATTATGGCCATTCCAAAGTGACTAACTTCTAGCTAGAAACCTTTGCCTTTTCTTTTACCTTTTAATTTTAATTCTGTCCTTTTGCTATTGATCTAATGGAAAAATCATAGCTTTTTACTTTGTAGTATCTCATTTACCCTTATTTCCACTCTTTAAGTAAACATGAAGAAGTTATATATTATTATTTTTCATCCCAAGAATCCTTTCATGTCGAAGTACGGTTTAGAACACTAGGAGTTGCCGAGATTTGGGAAGATTATTCATACAATTAGATTCTCAAGAAGTTTATCAAGAATTTTGAGTATCCTGGTAATGAAGATAATGCTATCATCTTTTAAGCTCTTTCTATGTTAAAGCTTTGAGAGAGGAGCATTAGTGCAATCAAAAGTGAAAACTTCAATCTTCTGCATTTTCAATAACTTCTCTGTGGAAAGTTTTTATTTGAGCAAGGTAACAGGTATTTTATTAACAAAAAATAGTCCTTAGCACAAACAAAGTTACAGGACCCCAAAAGAAAAAAGAAACAAAAAGATAGTCATGTGCTAGTTACAAAGATCTCAAGATGTCAACTACCTAATCTACATCTTCTACAAGATTAAACAATCATTTACGGAGAAAGTAAATAAGCACTGTAATAAGTATTTTGTTGCACGTGATATTTCTTGTTCTTCTTAAAAAGTCTGTCTGTGAGGTAAAAACTTGTGGAAGTTTGTTTATGATTATGGTATTTAGGCTTTGCTTCCGAGTATAATAGCTTTATGTTGAACAAATCTTATTCTTGATGGAATTACTAGCTTCATATACGATTTATTCGACTCTCCACTTCCCTATTTCTTTTTCTTTCTTTGACTGAACACGTGATTTAAGAACAAATTTACCCAGAAGCTTATACGTTTTAGCAAAATATTCCTAGATAGAATCTATATGGAATTGGTATTAGTTCTCAATGACCTTTTTTGTGATGACTATAATTTTATGACAATCAGAAAGGAAATGAAAATTTGTGATACTTTTCGAACTGTTTCTGCTATGTGCTTGTGGAACTTTATACTATATCCTCTATTGGACATGTGCCTGCAGTGATTTGATTGTTGTGATAAACCTTTGTAATGCCAGCCACAAACAAAGAAGGGTGTTGACAGTTTTGGTGGTCTTGGGGCCACATTAATAGATTCTCTTGACACACTATATATCATGGGCCTGGATGAGCAGTTTCAGAGAGCTAGAGAGTGAGTTCATTATTTTTTTGCCCCTAAAAGCCCCGAATTATCTTTCTTATTCTAATTCAGGAATTAGTTGTATTATAACTTAAAATTTTGTGATTGCTCTTGATTGTACCTTTTCTCTTTCTTTCTAGATTGGGAGCTTTATTTATGTGAAAACCAGCTTTGTATATGTGGATACATTATCTTCTACTTTATCTTATTTGACGGTGATCATCTCTCCTCTGCACATAATAATACCCATGGTTGTCTTTGGCAATATTACTTATGGTCCTAGTTTTGTTGTAAAGAAGAAAATGAATTGTTAAAAATTATTTAAATATGACCGGGAATCACCAGAATCAAGTAATTGGTGTATGCGATAATGTTAAAATGCATCTTGAGTTGGTAAAACATTTTATACTTGTTGTCATCTCTCTGATTAAAGTATGCAGTTCTCCTAACTGCCTCCTTCTCAACAGCCAGAGTCCCCAAAGTCCTCACCCAGTGAGAGACTGCTTAGAGTTCTGTGTTTCCTTGGATTGTGGATTTGATGTCTGGCATCTTGACTTTCCAAAATAATTGAAGTGTCAATTTCATTATATCCCTTTTACTTCTGGGTTTTAGGGTTATGTATTAGGTGTACTTTCTATTCTCTGTGACATCTTGACTTTCCAAAGTAATTGAAGTGTCAATTTCATTATATCCCTTTTACTTCTGGGTTTTAGGGTTATGTATTAGGTGTACTTTCTATTCTCTGTGAAACAATATTGCCAAGTGATAGACATTTGTAACTTTATATATTTTCGTGCTTCAGTTAGGAGTTCATTGCTTGTGGCTAACAAGTTATTGATGGCAGGTGGGTTGCAAGCTCATTGGATTTCAACAAGAATTATGATGCCAGTGTTTTTGAGACAACCATAAGGTTTCTTTATAAGGTTTAATATGCTTTTGTAATGAGTTTACTTGGATTCCTGATACCTTTTATCAGCTTTGACGATTTGTTTCTATGTTTTTTGGTTTCAATGATTCTTTATGTAATTCAACAACAGAGTTGTTGGTGGACTTCTTAGTGCATATGATCTCTCTGGTGATAAGCTTTTCCTTGATAAGGCTAAAGATATTGCTGACAGACTGTTGCCTGCATGGAATACACCATCTGGCATCCCTTACAACATTATCAACTTGTCACATGGAAATCCGCATAATCCTGGGTGGACAGGGGTAATTTTGAACTCTACCAAATTCAAGTTGATTTCCGCTGTAGTATTACTCATGTATCTCATGCTGAAAAGGATATAAGGCATTATTCTAAATTTTATTTGACGAGTCATTTGACGCTTTATCTTGCATCATTAGGAGAGGAGCATCTAAAAGGGGAACTGCATGAATGAAGAATCGTACGTTATTAAATGCTCTAATTTTCTTATAATATACTTAAAGGATCTTATGATCCAATCCTTGTTTTCTCTCTTTCTCGCATCTCCTCCAGGCGTTCTCCCAACTGACTCCAGCTTGCTGGGAGAAACATGTCTGTTGCAACTTAGCAATTGCAGTTCTCTAGGAAACTGTCCCACATACTCTCAACTTGTTTGTGCAGCCAGCCATCTTGTGATGATGTCCTTTTTCTGAAATTTTCTCCTGTGGGAATCCAACTCTCTTCTTTGCTTTTTATTTCTTTTCTTTTGGGCATATTAGGGAGCTGCAGGGCCGTGAGGCTGCTGTGCAGCCACTGGGATATATGGTTTTTTACTTGTTCTTTTCCTCTTAAACACTTGGACAGAATCCTTTTTTGCACACGGATGACTATCTTTTGAAATCTGAATATTTCTGTCTCATGGCATGTGATATATAATGCTTAAATTTTCTATGCACGAACACATTGAACACATATATGTAATTACATCGCTGTAGTTCTAGTGTACATTTGGTGAAATTATTGTGCTCCCTGCTCTCAGGGTAATAGTATCCTGGCAGATTCTGCCTCTGAGCAGCTTGAATTTATTGCTCTTTCGCAAAGGACAGGAGACTCAAAGTATCAACAGAAGGTATGTGCCAATAGAATTTCTCTAAAAATATAACTTCTTTTGATAGCTACTAGTTAATAAAACTACAATTCCAAAATTGGCATGGTAGACAATTGATTAAGCTACACATACTTGAAATGATGTTCTGCTAGTGACCGAATGGCATACTTGAAACGATGTTCTGCTAGTGACCGAATGGCATATGTTCCTATTTCAGGTGGAGAATGTTATCGTAGAACTTAATAGAACTTTTCCAGTTGATGGTTTGCTTCCAATACACATTAATCCCGAGAGAGGGACAACGTCATACTCCACTATAACATTTGGGGCCATGGGGGACAGGTAGCGTTCATTTATCTTTCTCCATATGACAGATCTGATAATGTGAACCTGAAGAAGACTGGTATCACCATATCCGTCTGTTCACTGGCATTTAGTTTTCCTTTGTTTCTTTTGTACATTTAGATAGTAAAACTATGTCGTTTCAGCTTTTATGAATATTTACTCAAGGTCTGGATACAAGGAAACAAAACAGCTGCTGTGGGACACTACAGGTAAGAAGCTTAAGTTGAAATTTTCTTTATTGTTTTTACTTTTCATTTTTCCTATTAAAAACTTCAAGTGGTTTCCTGTATTTGACATGATGGATTGCAGTTCTGATGGATCCGTTACTGTAAAGTGTATAAACTAATGCTAGAATACTTTGTCGGACCTGAATTCAAGTCTTTGTCATGCATCACGGCCTAACACAAAGAAATATTGTTAAATGTTTACATGTGTAGAGCATTACCAAGAAACCCAAGCAGAGGAAACACATGAATTTAGACAGAACATGAAAGGAAAAAGGACCCTTAAGGAGAAACAATGACAACTTGCTGAGGAGTTGATGTAATCTAAATACATAAAAGTAGACCTGAATAATTAGAGCTGTTGCTATTATTATGTCATTCGATGTACATATAAATATCGAAGTAATGGAGATTAAATTTACTGCTACTTTTTTCATTAAAAAAAAAGAAATTTACTGCTATTTTTTATATCATTCTGATAAATACATAATATCAAACCTGAGCTGCATGGGGAGCTTTAATGAAAGCATTATTATCTAGTCCATCATTTTTTCCTAAAAATGCAAAACTTAAAATCTTGATTAACATGTAACTATAGTACTCTTTGTGTGTTGCATTCTTGCACTCTTGTTACATCTTCCAAGCATCACTTTAACATGTCTCTAAATATTCAGATACAGCAATCCTAAGTTTCAAAAACTTTGTTTTCTAACATTTTTGCTAGTCAAACTAGATTAGTCAGAACGATCAAAATTTAGTGCAGGAAGTCCTTATGGACTATCTTGATTAGCAGCTGTAAGCTCAGTTCTGCAGAAACTAATTTCAAGACCAAAGAACTGGGGGTTTATGGGCAGTGTCTTTCCTTTGAGAAATGCAAAGCGAGCTCCTTATACTTTACTGCTCTGAAGTGCAGGAAGATGAAATTGGTTATTGTTTGAAATCTTTGTGTAATAATTGCTTAGTTAGAAGCAAAAGGATCAGAAATGTGGACCAGGTCAAAGTATGTCAATGCATATTTCTTTCCTGAGATTTTAAATGTGTATGATGTTCTTTTGCAAATTCTTGCAATCTTAAATGTATTACCTACAGTTATTCAATTTAATTTCCCAAACAGAAAAATGTGGGAGACATCAATGAAAGGCCTTTTAAGCTTGGTGCGGAGGACTACCCCATCATCTTTTGCTTATATTGGTGAGAAGATCGGAAGTTCTTTAAATGACAAGGTGATGTATAAGGATCAAATTGGTAGCTGGGAGTTGTGGTGATGTGTGTTATTCTTATATCCTGTTTAATCTACCCTTTATTGAATTCTATACAGATGGATGAACTTGCATGCTTCGCTCCAGGAATGTTAGCTTTAGGGTCGTCTGGTTATGGTCCTGACGAGTCTCAGAAGTTCTTATCACTCGCAGAAGAGGTAAATTTGAACTTGTAGAGCACTAAACTATGGTTTGACTTAAGTTCTTATTTGACCACCTGTCTCTGATGGAGAAGTTTTGCATCAACTTTGAGCATGAGGTTGTTTAGGTTACATTGGACATTGTTCTGCCTACTCCAGATGATTGCTTGGTTTGCTTTTATTTATTTGGTGGGGTTACAGGGTGAAGCATGAAGCAACCTATGCCATGAAATAACCTATGAAATAACATGTAGGTCTTGAATGTTGGCTACAGTCCAGATTTTATCGTTCGACCTTCTAACTTTCTCTTTCAGATAAAAGGGAAAGAAGGCACAGAGGATCAGTGGGCATAATCTATTTCATATTGACTACTTCTGTTATTGCTCGTTAGACAGGAAGCTTGAGTATTGCTATTTTACTGGATATATTGACCTCTTCTTGCAGCTTGCTTGGACTTGCTATAACTTCTACCAGTCAACACCTTCAAAATTGGCAGGAGAAAACTATTTCTTTAATGATGATGGGCAGGTTGATTTTACCAATTATTTTATTGGTACATATTTGTTATAGTTGTTTGCTTATGCTGATGAAGTATTTGTGATTGTTTTTCAGGATATGACCGTGGGCACATCGTGGAACATACTAAGGCCAGAAACGGTTGAGTCTCTGTTTTACCTCTGGCGTTTAACTGGAAACAAGACATACCAAGAGTGGGGTTGGAACATATTTCAAGCATTTGAAAAGAACTCGAGAATAGAGTCTGGATATGTTGGACTTAAAGATGTAAGTACAAACTCAGACTCCTAACTCTAGTTGGTGATTTTGTTAAAGATTAATTCATGTGAAAGAATCTGAGCATCCAACCCAAAACTTTAAGGCAATGGGTGGAGTGATCCAGGACATTACCCTTAGGGGCTGTTTGGTTCAAAACCAGGATATATCCCATAATCCTGGGATTAGAACCGGGACTATAACCTTGATAACTTATCCCACCTTCTATATGGGAAAAGGATGTGAGTTATACCAAGATTTTGGTATAACAAGAATATCAGGTTTAGCTAATACCTCCAACCAACACGGGATAAGTTTTAATCACAAAATTTATACCGGGTTTAATCACAAAATTTATACCGGGATAACCAAACGAGCCCTTATATAACGGATGAAAAACAAGTGTATTCTTTGACATCCTCCCGTACGTGTAACCTGATTCTCGAGATGTTTTGGACATCTATTGTTAACGTGTTGTTGGTGTTTGTCCCAGGTTAATACCGGTGTGCAAGACAATATGATGCAAAGCTTTTTCCTTGCGGAGACTCTTAAATATCTCTACCTTCTTTTCTCACCCTCTTCAATCATTCCACTAGATGAGTGGGTCTTCAACACAGAGGCCCACCCCATAAAAATTGTTAGCCGGAATGATCCAGCAGTCAGTTCTGGAAGGTCAGTTGGACAAACAAAATCATATAGGCGGCCACGGACCAGGAGAGAAGGCCGATTTGGTAATAAGTAGCTTCACAGGTCATCATTAGTTTAGTTGTTGATTCAGAAGGCCGATTTGGGATTTGGGATTCAAGTGCAATTTAGCTTGGCACTTCTTAACCAGATTGTAGCATAGTTATTTAGTTTCTTTTTTCTACGCTAACTTAATACTAGCGACTGTATTCTAGTACAGGGCATTTGGTTGCGGGTAGCTCTATATTTTTTGGGGCTGGACGAGTATATGTATATCATACCTTTTTATTTTGTGTTTTTTAAATAATAAATATAGTAGGTAAATTCTATGCGAAAAAGTAAATGTACGTCGGTGAACTTCAAAGGTTTTCTAAAGGAAAAAAAAAAAGTAGCAGCAAAGCTAAAGCAAATACTAACAATTAAGTCATGGTTTTTGTTCTCAAACACGACCACCTTCGTACAACCCTCTTTTTTACCCTTTTTGAAATTATAGTTTGGCCCAAGATGTTCTATTTTGGCTGAAAATATCTTTTTATTCAAATTTACTCAGTTTTACTGTTTTAATTTCGGAAAAGTGCCTAAACTATTAATGATATGGCGGTTTTTAAATTTTAACTAGGCCAAGTGGCAATCTTGGGCTGAAGAAAAAAAAAAGGGTCTTATTTCGACTCATTTGATTCGACCCTAGGTTTTCTTACCTGGGTCACAAAATTACACTAACCCATCCTTTTAGCTTATGATTTTCTTTGGGGTGCAGGAAACAATAAATAGTGGTATTACTAAATCTTAAACTTATAATTTAAAATGGTCACATCAGACACTACAATACCCAACTTCCATTGATATCCCGAACACAATTCTTTCCTTCTAATGAATGACACGGAAAAAAGTTCAAAAACTCATTAAAAATTGTGTTTAGAACACACCGTGATGTATTTCATTAAGTTAATTATGAGAATAATGAGCTATAGTAATTAGTAATAGAAACATACAAAATCATTTCTTACTCTTCTTATTATCTTTTCCATTGCAAAACAGAGACCCAAATCCAAACGGGACATTTTTAGAATTGGACTAATCCAAATAACATTACCATAATTAGGCCCTGGTCCATAATTCTTTCTCAATGGTGGCTTTTGCGATGTGTAAAAACTAGCTGCTGCTGATGAATTCTTCATTTGGACACTACTCTGTTTATGTACTGATTGCTTTGAATTAGGCACTGAACCAGTAGAATTGTTGTGGGATAATAAGAGTGATGACCAAAATGAGCTTTCTTGTGTGTATTAACACAATGAACACTACTGCTTCTCTAGATACCCAAAAGGAATTAGAATTAGACTGATTCTTTTGCTGCTGCTCTCATTTGGTCTCTTACATTAAAATTTCATTTTCTAATGAGGAAAGAAAACCTGGGGTCAGATGGATTAATGTAATTTTTTGACACAGACAAGAAAACTTAGGGTTGGATAAGGTAAATGGGTCGAAATAAGACCTATTTTTTCCTTGTTGGAGTTTTTACAGCTTGATTATTTTTTAACTATTATTTAAAAAATAACATCATTTATTGTTTATTTCATAAAGTATAATTTTTTTTATTATTAGCATATTATAAAAATTAAGCTCAACATTTAATAAGTTAACTGACTCACTAATCACAGGAATTACTTTTTTCGTTCATCTCCATTCTCCCTTTTCAACATTCATCTTTTTCACTCCATTTTTTAAAATCTGATGCATATGTGTGCCACCTAAATTCAAGATGTATGAATTTATACGTATTTTATACTTTGTATATCAAATATCACTTTAATTCAAAATATATTTTTATGTATATAATTTTTGTATATTTATTTGTGAAGTGCCATCTTATTATAAGATGTATTTTTAATGTATATTTCAAATATATTTTATACGTCAAGTGCCATTTTAATTCTGGATGTATTTTTTATGTATATTTATATGCCATCTTAATTAAATTTAAGATATATTTTTTTATGTATATTTCACATGTCTAAGTGTCATCTTAATTAAAGATGTATTTTTATGTATTTTATATGTGTTAATTCAATGTATATTTTTTTTTATATATGTTTTGTATGTATTAACATATATTATTATCGAAGTAAGATCTTTATGTTAAGAAAGGAAGAAAGAAAGAAGAGAAAAACATAATAAAGATAATTAAAAAGAAAACGAATGGAACAAATTTAGAAAATATATTGGCTTCGACAGAAAACAAATTTAAGAAGATGAAGAAAAAGAAGGAAAACTAATAGATAAAGAGAAAAAAGGCATGATTTTTGTACAAAGAATTATTGACTTTCCATTCAAATTTCTTATGTTTAGGGATTAATAATTAATATTCCTATTTTAATGGAATTGTGTGCTACAAGTATAAATATTTTTCTGTCACAACTGTAATATTGGGTTTTATGCTAAGAATTTATTATATTTCTTTTAAACTGTGACAGTTATGTAAAGTTCCCCTTTTTGTTGGGATTTGGCATGGCATGACAACTAGGTCCAACAATTGGCATAAAAAATTCAACGTTTTAGGATTTGGCATATGGTAGCCTAAAATTATTCCCTCTCTTCTAATGGCTCAACCACCATCCTAAAAATAAGCCCCATCAAAATTATTTTCCTTAAAAATAGAAAAATATATTTAAAACCCTCTCTCTCTTGTCTCATAGCAACCATCATCTTATAAATTAGGTTCCATTTCCTTCAGTAGTAACCGAAAAAANTATATATAACCCAATAATAATTATATTATTTGTATATCACAGTGTATAACATAATAATAATGGGTATATCAAAAAGTATATTACAATTTTATTTTCCTTCTTTGTATAACACATTTTCGATTGAAAACTCAAGTTCAAGACGACCCCACATGTGTATCCCGTGTATATATCTATATACATCAGTGATATCTCATGTATGTCATGTGTATATCCATAAAAATTTGTGTTATATTTATGGTATACAATATGATATACAAGGGCGTTAATAAATAAATTGTATTGTATACACGATATACAAAGTGATATACACAGATGTCCTTAAAAACCTATGAACACGATATACAAAGTGATATACACAGATGTCCTTAAAAACCTATGTGTGATATACACTGATGTACACGATATACAACATGATATATACATGTCGCAGTTGGATTTTAGGTCTGATGTTTTACGTGAAACCAGTCTAAATTACTTCTAATCTTGCTCAAATTTTGCATATAGCCTCGTTTAGGTATTTTCAACCAATTTCAATCACACCCATTCATTCAATCCAACAAAGAAAAAGAAGAGAGAAGAAAAACAAAGTTGAAATGTATTTTTTTTTTCCTCTTAGTTTTTGCTTCTGATTTTCTCTGATGTGAGATCAACCTTACCTTTTCATTTCACTGTTTTTTTTTTGCATAATTTGCATGAATTTTTTGCTAAATTATGAGAGCGAAAGAGAAGAGATAGAAGAAGAAATACAAGGAGAGAAAGGGGGAGGGAAGCAATGAACAATAAGAGAAATGAGCGGCGAAGGAGGGGGGAGCAGACGGTTTGGGGCCAATTGTTTGAGAGAGAATATATAAGAGAGTAGTTTTTTTAGGATTTGGCTATATAATGCCAATTGTGTGGGGTTATCTTTGCCAGACCTAATATAAGACTCAAAATTGTCAATTCCTGTCATGTGTTGTCACATTATGCCATTTTCTCTTTTTTGTTTCAGCCCGAGATAACCGTCACATCATTAAATTGTAGGCCCATAGGATCTGCCATTAGACACGATGGTAATTTTATTAATAGAATTACTGTCATGTGCTTTTTTGAACGGATAGATGGACGGAGGGTATTTGCAAACCATTTAGTAAACGGTAGGGGTAGTTTAGACCCTTTTCCGTTTTAATTTTAACCTTATATGAACCTCAAAAAGCATTGGGATTTTAATGATTATTTTTTCGAAAAGACAAGCAAACCGTAATTCTGAGGTCGTTTGGTAGGTTGTACGAGAAGAGTATTGAATATGGTATATTAGTAAAATTGAGATTTGTTATGTTGAGATTAGTTCTTGTCGACTGTTTAGTTTGGTGTATTAAAGGTTTTGAAAGGAAAGTTTATCTTTATACATGCTTATCCATATATTAAAAATTATAATATTACTAATACTATAGGTTGCTATATATAAAAATAATATTAAATAAGGTATATAATTAGTACAAGTATAATAAAAAATTAAATAATATTAAAATTAATATATGTATTATTTTTCCTAATATATTCTGCCAAAGTGTTATCTAACCAAAGGCAAACATAACAGGTGCTGGAGGCTGTTGCGCGAGTCCTCAGTTAATTGACGGCAGAGGCCCAACATAATGTTCACAAAAGTTTGACGGGACGACGCATTTGGGGAATATGCTCCTTTTGCGGTTTTGCCTATGGAGAATTTCTTGCTTGAGAGGACTTTCCGATTCTCAACTCCCTCTCCATTTCCATTTGCAACTTCATTTCTGTAAGCAATGAGCTTGAATAGAGCTCCTCAAATATAGAACCCTAAACCCACCTTTAGGGGAAGTGCCAACTATTTTTAGATTACATCAGTCTTCTTTTTCACGCATTGATGCCTACCCCTCGTGTTCTCTCTGCTCTTCGCCGCTTTCGCCATACCTATCAAGGCTCCCATTCCGGTTCTCTATCTGCAGCGCTCTCACCTTTACAAAAGAAATTTGATTTTGATAATTTTCACTTTTGCCCATCTAAACTCCAAGAAGAAGAAACTGAACATCATTTCGATGCTTACCATAAATTTCATTGCAATCCGAGCTCCCAGATCAGTGGAGGAATTCCGTCACCGTCTTCATTTGCATTGCGCAGTATATTCTCGGTTAATTCCTCACGAAATGTAGTCTTATTGTCTTCAATTTCCAGAAGAAATAGTCATCTGTTCTTCAGCCGGGGTGAGCAAAATATTAGTCTCTATATTTAAATAGAGTTGTTCACTTTGTGTAGTTTTAGGATTATGTTTAACAGAATTGCTCTTTTGCAGGTTTGATTTCCAGAGCTAAGAAGATAAGGACGATTGAGGTGGATGATCATGGGTAACGTGTGTTGTTCTCCTCATATATGATGCTCTTCTATTTTCTTTTAAGGCACAACAATTGCATAAATGGCCTTACTGGTTTCTAGAATCTGCAAATTTAACCTTATTGTGCTGTTAGGCGCATAACTAATCCCTCATATATGTTTGGCGAGTTATTTTCTGATCCATTTGTTAGTCCCTCGTGTGTCCGACCAATAATGACGTCCTTTTGCTTACATCCGGTAAAAGGACATGTCTGTAATTTGAGATCCTAGAGGGGTTGAAACTTTGAAGTTAAACTGCCACAAATCAGATGGCATTCCAGAAACTTTGAAGTTAAACTTGAAGGTGGGAGTAAGTGATAATTCCAGAATCAATCAGATGGCATTCAATAACATTAAGTGGATGTCTCCATTCTGCTTAATTTGGACTCCATTTGGTCGGACATAGAAGTGTTTCTTATTGCATAGTGGAAAATGACTTCAGTCTCAAAGTTATTTGTAGTTTCTCTGGATTAAAATGCATACATCAAAACCTTCTCTTTTACAATCGTGACAACCTACCATCGATCAAAAACAGGAAAATAATTCTCTTTGCTAAAACTATGAATCTCTATGCTATGTCACCTTAATTTCTTCTTTTTCTGTTGCCGTAGCCAGCGAGCAGTCACAACAGCTTTATGGTGCAATTTTCTTGTCTTTTCCCTGAAGTTTGGGGTCTGGTTTGTCAGTTCCAGCCATGTCATGTTGGCTGAAGTTGTACATTCAGTTGCAGACTTTGCAAATCAGGTATTGCACATCTTTTAAACTAACACGGCCTGGTATGTGCAAAGTTCCATCTCTAAAACTTCATCAGTCAAACAATGTTGATTGCTCACTTTGTAGGCACTTCTTGCGTATGGTTTAAATAGCTCCAGACGTGCACCAGATGCTATCCACCCGTAAGTCTCAATACCTTGACATTGCAGGCACCATTTTTTTTTATTTATAAATTTAAATTTCTCTTGTATTTAGCACACTTCAAGTTTCCAGTATAGTAGTATTTGCTTGCATTGCAAAATGAACATATTTACCATTTATTTGGTGAATGTGCAACTGTATCATACAAGATATTTGGTTTTCACATATACATGCCTGTGCAAGGCTTAACAACACTATATCAAACACATGATGAATGAAAGATCTTAGACCACCGCTAGAGTGGAATAGTTGCTCTTTTTCTTGTGACATGTGTTTTGGAGCTATAGAGGCTTATGAACTTTTTGAATTCTTATTTTTATCTCTGCAGATACGGCTACTCCAAGGAAAGATTTGTCTGGTCTTTAATATCTGCTGTTGGTATATTTTGTCTTGGTTGTGGTGCTACAATAGTTCATGGAGTTCAAAACTTGTGGACTTCTGAGGTACTTTAATTGAAATACAGTGATCCATCATCTGTTGTTGAATACTGTGCTTTCACATCAACCAGAACTGTATTTCTTTGTATGTATATGTTTCAGCAACCTGCAAATATTGGATATGCAGCACTGGTGATTGGTGGCTCATTCATTATAGAGGGTACAAATTCTTCTCTAATCTCCAATGAATACAAGTAGCTAGAATTTCATTACTGTTATGGTTTTTACCCCTTATCTCCCTCTACATTTCGTTCCTGACCCTGGACTTCTTTTAGGTATTTCTCTCATTGTAGCTATACAAGCTGTCCAAAAAGGAGCTGCCGCAGAAGGAATGACAGTGAGAGATTATATTTGGCGTGGCCATGATCCTACAGCTGTGGCTGTCATGACTGAGGTGACCAACATGTTTTCTTGAGCTCCTACTCATGATCTCTTTGTCAGTGATCTGTAATGTATGTTCAATTTGTAGGATGGTGCTGCAGTTACAGGCCTAGCCATTGCTGCTGCATCACTGGTTGCTGTAAATGCCACTGGAAATCCAATTTATGATCCCATTGGTTCCATTATAGTGGGCAACCTTCTAGGAATGGTATGTGATGCTAAACCTTCTAGGAATGGTATGTGATGCTAAACCTTAAACCTGTGCTGAAGTTCAAGCATTGTAATCTATATGTATTTTCAGTGTGTGTCAGCTATCAGCATATTAAAAAATTAGAGTTCAAAATTGATCTTTTAGTTGAAGTTAGGGATTGTAAATATATCTGTTCTGCATGTGCACAAAGTTGAGAATTTGGTGACAACCTACAGATTGTAGTAAACACTCGTACTTTGGTCCTTCCTATTAGTTATTTTGTGTACAGCAGGAGGTCGAGGTTGATACTGAGCGTTCACAGTGTTGTGACTACTAACATAATGAATTGTATGATACATTACATCAAGTATGATTTATTAGAAACATGGCTGCACTATTAAAGATGTCACAAAAGTTATCACCAATGTTGTGAGTCCAACAATGTCATATGAGAGTGAATATTGGCCTCTTAGAACCACCATATCGGTGAGATGAGTATTATAAACATGCAAATGTTAAGATAGATGTGCTATTATACAAGATTAGATAAGATTTGAAATGATCACATGCGCCAGAAGGTGAAACTAGCATGATTTGAGGGAAAACTGAGAGAAGGTTGCATGACATGGTTTTGTAATGTCGAATGTTGACCTCCAAATGCACCGGTCCATAGGTGTGACAACATGAATTGTGGAGGTATTAAAAAGGACGAGGCAGACTAAAATTGATTTTAGAATAAAGGACGAGGTTAGATCATAGGGAGGGAAGTTGTGTCAAAAAACCTACAATTTCTTAGAACCCATGTGGACTTGGTGAAGAACAAAATATAATTGTAACAAAGTATCCATATAGGAGAAACCAACTGCTTACGATTAAAGTTTATTCGTTGTCGGTACACTTATAGTAGGTCCTGCGTGATGCTGTTTAATGGGAGCCCTTTAGCTTAGTTAGAGATTGTATGATCGTGTAGGGATAAGCTTGATATTTAGTGAATCCGTGGTCTTAGAGAACCTCTACTTTGTCCTAAAAGACAAAAAAAATGAGTATTAGAATGGAATGGATCAAAATGCAGCAGGATAGATATTGATGATTCATATTGCCAATTCTAGCTAGACAGGAATAGAGTGGTTGTTGTTCTTAGCTCTTATATCTTAATTCTAAAGTTAAGACTGGCATCAAAGTAACTTGGGTTGTCGTGAAGTAGCGTATAGGAGATGTTGATTGAGAAAAGTGAAATTTTGAAGACCCATCTCACGGAATGCTTTCCAGTGTTAGAATGATGCACTTTATGTGATCTTGTTGTGATTGTGATTGTTACAGTGACTGATGATATGGGTGGCTAAACTTGGTTGTCAGTAATAATTGTCTGATGTCTTTACGCTTACCACAATTACATTTTTTGGAGGGGGAGAGGAGAGAGAGCATATTCTTTGCCGTCATCTCAAACTTAAGCTTTGAAAAAGGGGAGGTTTAATATGCAATTTGGAATGCAGGTTGCGATATTTCTGATTCAGAGAAATCGCCATGCTTTGATTGGTAGAGCAATTGATGACAATGACATGGACAGGGTTCTGCAGTTCCTGAAAAATGATCCAGTATGTTGTTGCTGAATCGCTCTTCTCTGCTAACCTGTTTGCCTAACTAAACCATCCAAACTATACTTGCTACAGGTTGTTGATTCCATTTATGATTGCAAAAGTGAGGTGATTGGACCTGGGTTCTTTAGGTTTAAGGCGGAGATAGGTGATGGGATATGGTTCTTCATTTCTATTCTTCAGTTTCTTTAAGGTACCTCTTCTAATATGTTGCTTTATATTGCAGACTTCAATGGCGTAGTGCTGGTTCAAAATTATCTAGAGAGAGCTGGACGTGAAGTGTGGGCTAAGCAGGTTATTAGTTTTCCATGCAAACTTTTTATTCTCCCCCCACACCGCCCCTCATTGGGGGTTTGAGGGGGGGGGGGGCATCCTGTTTTTGCATTTCAATAGCTGACAACATCAATGGGTTGATAGAAGAAGGCACTGAAAATTTAGACTACTTTCTCTCTTCTAAAATAGAAAGATTGAACACTTCTTTACCATGCCCTTGTGATGACACGTCTTCGGCGCTATCTTGTTGTTTCTCAAGATGACTTCTCTTTGGGAAGGTGTAATAAAAATCAACATAAATTCTTAGAATATAATAATATATCTGCTTGGCACATTGTTTTTTTTTTTGCCTTTTGTTGAAGTGATGTAATATCTGCATGGCACATTGTTCTCGCAGTATATTTTTCGAAATGATTTCTTGCTGTAACATTCTTGAAGATCAGTTAGCTCATCTCTATTTGATTTTGCTGAACAATGCTGACATAGTTCTTGAATTGTCATAGCTTCAGCTTAAATTATGAAGACCATAAACATTATTTCACTTTCTTCTTCACCCTTAGGGCCATGCAGTCTGCAAGCATTATATTTTGATAGGTACAAGCATTATTGAAAAATAATAGCCACTTATTTTCTCTTTTTCATATGTAGTTTCGGGAGGCTTCAGAGCAGAAGGATGATGCAGCATTACTGAAACTGATGTCAATCTATGGTATGCATAACTTTGGAGGTATGATTGTGAATTGCGCATATTACATGCTATGAAACTTTTTTGTTTCTTGGCAGGTGAGGAAGTTGTCACAGCACTAGGGAGTGAAGTTGATCGGCTAGAAAAGGAAATCCAGGAAATAGTTCCTGGCATTAGGCATGTGGACATTGAGGCCCATAATCCAATTGGACCATCCCCATGAGTGTATAACTTAATACTGAGCTACGCAATAACTTTATGTTCAAATTATAACAAAATGAGATACAATTGATGAATTATGGGAAGTATCATTTAGCTCGGGATGCTCTCAACTGAGCTTTCAGTGTAGTACTTGTTTGAAGAATTTGTCGTTTCAGTGTAGGAGATAATGATCCTTTGCTCGTCTTTTTTCTTGTGAGTACAAAGGCAGCTTTTATTCATTTCTGGTGATGGTTTTGCAACTCAGTGAGAACCATTCGGACAGATTTCATATCCATTAACCAGCTTAAAGAATGGTTCCTCGCTTAGTACTCTCAAGTCTTATCATGTGATGCATGAACAAGTGATAATTCAAAAAAGAGGAAAAAGAAAAATAGAGGAATGGCTAAGACCGTCCTTGGTTCTTTCCTTTAGGTGTACATAAGCGTTTGAACCTTATTGCAGACAAAAGCCTTGTATTTAAGTGAAGGGTAAAGGAACATGCTCATTATGACCCGAGTATCGACTCGTGGCGCACTAGTACTCAGAGATTTCTTGATCGTCAAAAAATAAAGGTATTTAAGTGAAGGGTAAAGGAACATGCTCATTATGACCCGAGTATCGACTCGTGGCGCACTAGTACTCAGAGATTTCTTGATCGTCAAAAAATAAAGGTATTTAAGTGAAGGGTAAAGGAACATGCTCATTATGACCCGAGTATCGACTCGTGGCGCACTAGTACTCAGAGATTTCTTGATCGTCAAAAAATAAAGGTATTTAAGTGAAGGGTAAAGGAACATGCTCATTATGACCCGAGTATCGACTCGTGGCGCACTAGTACTCAGAGATTTCTTGATCGTCAAAAAATAAAGGATGGATGGTTTAGATTTTCAAGGAGCATCCACTAATACAAACAGAAAAGGTGCTGAACCGTTTTATCTTTCACAGACCGTTATAGCGACAAACTTCTTTGAATTTATTTAATTTAACTAGTTTCTGGACATGTGCGTTGCACGTGTATCTCATACTAATTCGTACAAATATTTTAAAATTATTATAATAAGTATGCGATATGTTACAAAAATTAAAGGGAAAAATGCAAGCTCAAACTAAAGAATGGCGAGCCTATTTGACCGATATTTATTATCATTGCAAAGCAAAAGCATATAGAAAAATTATTGTCGAATGAACTTAGAAAAATAATGTTCAAACGATTTCAATTATGCAATTCTTATAATATATCAAGTATTCAACTTGACAACATATGTTTTTGCATGTCAACAACATATAATTTAAATGTGAAGCCTTCTTTTTAAAAGATTGATGACTTCTCCTTTTTATACCTGCATAAAAATCTAGAAGTTGTTATTGAATAAAAAAATATTTGTAGAAACTATCAAGAAATTCAATCAACCTACGCCTTCCCTAGGATGGCTAGTAAATCATTATGTACACCTACACTTTGTAATAATTAAGTATTTGTACAGACATAATAGCTGCCGAAAGATATATATATATGCATGTGCCCTTTGGCCATGAGAAAATTCAAAACGATGATATAATCTTTGAAGAGTTTAAAGAGAGATCACAAATCATAAGACAAAACTGACATACAAAATTAAAACAGATCCTAGAATTATAGGAAAACTAAAATTTCACATGCAACTTGCAAATGTGAAGTTGAAAAGACAAGAAATGACATCTTTTCCCCCATGTCTTACCATCCATCACTTTGTTATACAACACCCAAAATGATGTGAAGAGCGAAACCGAAAATGTGAAAATGCAGGAATCACAAAGTGAAGTGACAAAAAAGAGATGTGATCTATTGCAGAGTGAAACCGAGAACAAAGTAAAAAATAAAAAGTAAACCTGTAATCTATTGTAGAGTGAAGTAGGTGAAGTGGAAAAATCAATGGATCATTTGGGGAAAAAGGAATTTTTGACAGAAATAAGAGAAATGTGATACAGTAGACAATTGATGTGAGTGAAAAAAAACTTTAACTGCAAAAATATTCCTATTACCATGGAGATGAAGAACCAAAACTGAAAATTTGCTTCTGAGTAATATGTAATTAAGAAAATTTATAGCTGACAACTTGCATTACTACTATTGAAGATGAAAGAAACTTAATTGAGATGTGAAAATGAAACTGCAGAATAATTTAGAATATGTACAGCGCATTATGAATGCTCTCAGCCTAATTAGATTCATTGAATTGATTGTCTGGAGCATTAAACTACTACTCTAATTAACTCGGCTAATGTCACAACCCAAATCCATGTGACCGGCACTCGGCACATTACCTGACCCGAGCGAACCAAATCATATGTCAAGACCAAGTATAATTATGGAAGCCAATTGAAAATCTTGTACATTTTCAAATCAAGTCACAAAATATATTTTTTTTATTTCCAAAATGATACATGAAACTTTTCATAAAAATGATATAACCAAATTAAATAATTATTTCTTTATGCACCACGTTCACAATCCTATTTTTACAATCCAATGCAACTATCTATGGAGCCTCTATACCAAAGAATAGAACCAACACTTGGAATAATTCCAACAAAAGAAAATAATAAGAAATAATATGATAGCTACCACGGAATAAAAGTAGTGCTTCATCATACCTCGAAAAGAGAGTCATCCTAGGCATGTCCACATATCACGTGCCATACCTTATCTTGAAACACGTAAAGAAAACGGGACCGTGAAGAGGGGGCCCTAAGGGCTGAGTACGCCACAATGATACTCAATAAGTGTCATAAACTCTCTCTAACTCAAGTTCCTAGGACAAGGTTTGATAAAAATAAAGCAAACAATATCTCATACAAAATAGTACTCCATCCGTTTTAATTTAGATGAGGTAGTTTGACTCGACACGGAGTTTAAGAAAAAAAGAAAATTTTTGAAACTTGTGGTCTTAAAAGCTTAAGGGGTAAAAGTTTTGTGGAATCATGACATTTGTGTGGTTATAAAAGCTTCTCATTAATGGTAAAATAGGTAAAATGAAGAGTTTAAATTTGAATTATTTCCAAATTTAGAAATGTGTCATTTATTTTGGAACAGACTAAAAATGAAAGTACCTCATCTAATTTGAAACAGAGGGAGTAATAATTATATTAATTCACGCCTTTTGTCATTTTATATGAAAAGACAAGTGAAATGTCAACCATGATATAAACTTTTAAAATATTTATATCAATTCATGGTTTTTAATAAAGATCATATAGAATTATTTCAATTTCATCAAGTCATTAAAATCACTTTCGGCTCCTTAGGCCTAAACATAAGAAAATCAGTCTTACCTTTCACCGGGAGTACTATACCATCACCGATACAAGAAGGTCAACTAGGTTATATACCTAGCGGCAAGTATCATATACACTACTTGCTCAGGTCGTTTCATCGTAGTGTCGTACGAATCGACTCGGCCATGCTAATAATAGCACAAAATAGTACCCTCTCGAGGGAGAGCACTTTGTCGTAGTCTATACTACAAAATAGCCATCTACGCCTATACCGACAGGTGTAGTTTCATGACGACGAACACAATATATTCAAAGCCAATATCAGTGAACACAAGTAACTCCCAAAATATTTAATACTCCAAAAATATATTCATAGCCAAATAGCCTCAAACTATTTATTTTACAAATTATGATATTTATAGTCAATTCGAACCATTTGAACAAAATTAAATGAAATCCTTTCTCATTTCATAGTAAAGCAATTAACAAAATGAGATTCCAATCCTTACAGATTTAACACGTGTTATGTCAAAATATTAAAATTTTAAAATATTATATTTCCCATGTTATAAAATGAAGATAATAATAGAGCTCAAATGTATAATCTCTTTATTATCAATATAAGTTTTAAATAAAACTTATAATATTTGCCTCAAGTGTCGTTTGACATCAAGTCTGTCGCGACCCAAAATCTCACCTGTCGTGATGGCGCCTATCTCACTACTAGGTAAGCCGGCAATCTCAATAAACCACCATATCTTTTAGGTTTGAAAACAAATATTTAAATTCAACGGAAGAATTCTAGATAAAAATCAGTCCCCAAAATCTGGTGTCACTGAGTACATGATCATCTAATATGAATACAAAGTCTGACTTATAAAATCACTGTCTGAAAATATAGAACAGTACAATAATTAAACAAGAAAGGAATCAAGTCTACGGACGTCAAGCAACAACCTTGATAGTACCCAACAGAATTAACTTCGAAATCTAGCAGCCGCCGAATCCGGGAGCACCTGAATCTGCACACGAGGTGCAGAGTATAGTATGAGTATAACTAACTCAATAAGTAGCAAGACTAACCTCTGGGCTGAAAGTAGTGACGAGCTCCGCAGGTACAGTCCAGTATAAATAATGGTACAAAAATATAGGCATGCTTTCAAGTTCAACAGTTAATCTCAGTACAAGTGAAATAGATCAATACTGCATGATATGAGGAATATGACATCTCAGTAGAAAGACCTCATGTAAATACTGGTCACAAATTATTCAGTCACTCGGTACTGTTTATGGCCAATCCAGCACAGGGGTGTTCCAACCCATATATATATACACATCGACCGACAGTCAGTCACTCAGTACCGTATAAGTCCAATCGAGCCCTGGAGTAATTTATCCCCAAATGTAAGTGATACGGACAATATCCATGTCCAGGTAAATTCATTACAATATAAATAAGTAAGGCAAGTCCATGTCCTGGGAAATCCATCACGAATATATATAATCATCTATGCTCACTGTGGGTGTGTACAAACTCCGGAGGGGCTCCTTCAGCCCAAGCGTGATATAAAACCTTTATGGCCTACTGCAGGCGGGCAGTCCCGATCCGTAAAATAATAAAGCCTATAAGGCCTGCTGCAGGAGGGCAACCCCGATCCATAAAATAGTAAAGCCTATAAGGCCTGCTGCAGGCAGGCAATCCCGGTCTATAAAATTGTAAAGCCTATAAGGCCTGCTGCAGGCGGGCAGCTCCGATCCATATAATAATAATAATGTATAAAGCCATTATGGCCTGCTGCAGGCGGGCAGCCCCGATCCATTTAATGATAACATATATAAAGCTAATATGGCTTGCTGCGGCGCGCAACTCGATCCCATAAATATCCTCACAATGGACGAATATGACTGAGTGTGAAATGTATATTTTATATTTTTTTGAAATAATTAATTCAACAGCAACACGACCCCATGGGTCTAAATAATA